ATGGCCATCTGACGCATGCGCAGGTGATGACTCCCCCGCTTTAAATGTTTAACACATTTGCTGTCAGATATTGTCAATACACATTTTCTGCGAGATACTGAAATATTCGAGTTAAGTTTATGTTTCCCATAACTCGAATTTCGGTTAACTGTTAATTAATATTCGAGTTATTAAATTTGAACGTTAAACAAAACAACAAATCTATGTTTACCGTAACTCGAAGTTCGGTTAACTGTTAATTAATATTCGAGTTATTAAATTTGAACGTTAAACAAAACAACAAATCTATGTTTACCGTAACTCGAAGTTCGGTTAACTGTTAATTAATATTCGAGTTATTAAATTTGAACGTTAAACAAAACAACAAATCTATGTTTACCGTGACTCGAAGTTCGGTTAACTGTTAATTAATATTTGAGTTATTAAATTTGAACGTTAAACAAAACAACAAATCTATGTTTACCGAACAATTTGGGCGTGGTTCTGCAAAAGTGGGAGTGGCTTTTAATATATGGGCGTGGTCATTTTTGTAACTCGATGTTTTCGTAACTCGATGTTCGTAAGTTTAATTTAAAATATGCAGCAGCTACTCATTGGAATTCATTAGCAAATAAAATCAAAACAATGACGTAAACTCAAAACAGAATTAAAACAATATGTTTTACTAGTAACCAATTATCAGTCTGTGTTATACACTATTTCAGTAATGTAGCTCCTATTTTGAAATGACAAACATCTTAAAATTATTTACATTTTATTGCATTAATTACTATTGTTACAAATATCATTATCACAACTTAAATGCTGTTTATCACTTTTATACCTTTCAAACAATTGTAATTATTAAGCTTATAACCCTCTACTAAATGCTTTCACTGGATACTTCTTATGTACATATAGCCATGAAACCTCTGTAAACTAATAATGCTACAATTAATTATCTTACAGATGACTGTACACGACTGCCGTATTCAGGATATCCACCAGCGCCCCGACAAAAACTACCACCACAGCCCAAGAAAATGGATGTCAATCTGTACACGGCTACGAAGGACAACCTTACTTTTCCAGCTTTCAATATTTCCGCGACCCTCGACTTGATGACAGGTATTTCTAATGCAAATATATTAGATATTCTGGTAGTGACTAGCCTGGCAAAGTCGCGTGTGTTGCGCCCTCCGCGGTACTTCAAACCCTAGTAGAGTAGTAGTAGTGATGCCATTGGAACGGCGAAGGCGCCACTCACGCCCACATGTCAGGCTGGGCGGTGACTTAAACGTCACGTGTTCCCATTTCGCCAATCACTGCACAACACAACTATCCCCTGATCCGGGCACTCTGATGTATCTTATACACATTATTTCTAAAATAAAATATGAAAACTTACATTTCATTTCAGTCGTTGGGCTGCTTGGCATAACGATATGAACAACATTGAACGTGATCTGAAAGACTTTATTTGATTTGGTCCAATACAAGTTGTTTTTCCATTCTTTACAGGTTCATCGTATATATCTGGATTGCAGTTTATCATACGCGGTTTGACAAATCATCATGAGTTTAATTTCGACTATTTCAGTCGTGAGATTTGTCACAATTATAATCTTTCTGCTGCAGACACTAGCTGGGTCGAAGGGGTATGTTTCCATGATTCTTACACTGGCGACTTTATATACGGACAACCCGACAGAATTTAATATTTGTAATGTATTTGACAGTGTTTATTAACAATACTACTGTAAAATGACTAATTTTCGCTGGGTTTAAATTTCACCGATTTACCATTTCAGGCATATTCAATGGGTTTTAAATTCACGGTTTTATCATTTAGATAATGTGTTCTATGCTCAATTTTACATATTCACTGGGTTTTAATTTAGCGCATTTTCCAGTCAGTGAAATAAGCAAAAGTAAAATCAATGAAGTGAATAATTAATCCTTTTACAGTATTGTTTATGCACACAAAATTTACATACGATGAGTATATTTAATTCGAAGTTCAAGTGATTTAGTTTGGTTTTAATTTGTGGCAGACATTATTTTAAGTAAAATGCCTTGTCTAAAATATGATCACAAATTTGAAACATACTCCCATCAATTCATTATTGATGTGTTATTTCTTCCGACTAGGTTCCTTCAAATGTCACCTATTACATGGACTGTTTTAAACCTTTATCGCCGGAGTCGGAGTATGAGATTGAAGTCATCGTTGTACCAATCGCAAAAGATTACAAAAAAAATGCAGTGAAAACGATCAGGACGCCATGTGAGCTGAGTTTTCATCACAGACTCAAAATCTCCAACATTAAAGCAGGAGGGTCGTCATCTGCGCACGCGCGGGAATTGAGTCCCAAGCGACGATAACAACACATGCTAAAACGCAAAGGCTCATGGACAGACGCTTGTTTGTAAATAATGACACGCTATGACCATCTGACGCATGCGCAGGTGACGACTCCCCCGCTTTAACACAGTTTTTTCTTGCAAAGCGCAGTATAAGTTCCCAAACAATGTGATCATTCGTTTCGAAACATCTAACATTCCTTCATGTATATCATGAAGACCATATGTTTTACTCTCACTGGTTTGACTCACA